CTTTGAATGCCACGTACCATGTGAGAGCTGGCCTCTTTCTTCCCTGTGGTGCTCATAACTAGTAGACATTGTCAACTTGGCTGTCAGCAGAAAGGTGCCTGCTGGCTGTGGGCACAGGCACACTGAGAGGGAGCTGGTCAGCTGGTCTGAGGGGTGGCCAGGACTCTTTCATCTGCCCCAGCTAGGTGCCCAGTCTCACAGTACACCTCTCTACAGGGACAGAAGCGTCTGGTGCTCTCTGAAAGCTGCTCCCGGGACTCAATGAGCAGCCAGCCCAGCTGCACGGTGCTGAACTATTCCTATGGTGTGAATGCCTGGAAGTCCTGGGTGCAAGCCAAGTATGCAGGGGGAGAGACCAGCAAGGGAGAGGAGCTACGCTTTGGCCGTAAGTACCCTTGTCTGAATGGGGTAGAGTGGCAGAAGCCTCCCAGAAGCTTGGTCCCAGGGTGTTGTGGCCTTGTTTCCACAGCCAAGCCCATGAGGATCAAGGAAGACATCTTGGCCTGCACAGCAGCTGAGCTCAACTATGGTCTGGCCCAATTTGTCAAGGAGATAACACGGCCCAACGGGGAGCGCTACGAGCCAGACAGCATCTATTACCTCTGCCTTGGCATCCAGCAGGTGAGGGAGGCCTTGCTGCCTTCAAGTCCTCCACAGCCAGACCCAGGGGTCAGATCTGGTGAGAGGAGCTTATGCCCTTTATTCTGCCTTCTGGGGACCTAGAGAGTCTCATTGGACTTCAGTGCCCCATCCCAGGAGACCTGGTTCAGTCTTTGTTCCCAAGCCCAGTGGGTAGGGTGGCAGCTGTTGCCCAGCCTTGCACCCTCTTGCACATCCTTGAAGTGGGCTGTGAGATCTCCTCAAACTCAGTTCCTTCTTCAACACCAAGTCTGCTTTGTCATGCCCTGGGGTTCTCCTCACAGCTTTCTGAAGTGGCTGGTTTTGGGAGTCTGACCTGCATCTCTGGTTGTACAAGAAAGGGCACTGTGCATGTTCGCCCTGGGCTCTCTGGGGAGGGTTTGTATTCCAGGTGCTGCCATGTCCCTCTTGACTGTGTGTTCTGTCCTTTCTAGTACCTGCTCGAGAACAATCGTATGGTGAATATATTTACAGACCTTTACTACTTGACCTTCGTGCAGGAGCTGAACAAGTCCCTGAGTGGCTGGCAACCCACAGTCTTACCAAATAGTACGTGTCTCCAGAGTACCCTCAGTCAGCACACATAACCAGTTTGTGCTCCTTGGATCCTCCGGTCTGATTGTGCTCCCCCACCCTCAACCTGCTTCCTCAGCACAGGCAGCCAAGTCCTCCTGTATCTTGGGGTCATCCTGACCTGCACTGACAGTGGAGCCAGCCTTGTTTACACCTCAGCAGCTTCTGTTGCCCAGAGTCAGGGTAGCTGGGAGCAGAGCATGGCTGCTTTGTGTCCTGGGACAGTTTGAATCTTTACAACACATCACAGTGATGTCTCCACTCTTTGGCAAAGAGGATCCCAAGCCAGAATGCACACTGGTCCATATCTTTTTGTCCCCAGCTTGTGGAGGAGCCCTGCACACCATGCTGAGTGTTGACCAGGGTTGCTGTGCTGCTGCCTTGTGAGCAGACTAACTTTAAGCTCTGCAGAGGCTTTTAATGATACTGTGACTAGGTCTGCCTTCCCTGCTATGTCTTGTCAATTCACAGCTCCAGCCTCACCTCTCCATATTGGCTTACCCAGGCAGAGGTGTTTGGCTGCAAACTTGTGTGTCTAGGCAGGAGCTGGCCATGTCTGTCCTCCCTGCTGCTTTTCCTTCATCTCATGCTGAGCGTGGTGGAGCACTGAGCTGGTGTTCACTTTGTGGCCCTCTATAAGGATGAGCAGTTAGGATTGATTTGGGTTCCGGCCTGTGGTTTGGCTGCACTTTGGGGTGGCTTGTGGCTGGACAGAGCCATCAGCATGTGGCTTGCTTCTGGAGAAGTAATCTCTTGGAAAAGGGGGTGTTGTGAAGCATCAGTCCTTTGCAATGCTTGTTGGGGCAGGGTGGAGGGATTGCCCTAAGGCCACTGGTGATGTGACCTGATTCTTCCTCTGTGTGTTGCAGACACAGTTTTCTCACGTGTTGAGGAGGAGCACCTCTGGGAGTGCAAGCAGCTGGGCGTTTACTCGCCCTTTGTGCTCCTTAACACCCTCATGTTCTTCAACACCAAGTTTTTTGGGCTGCAGACAGCAGAGGAGCACATGCAGCTCTCCTTCACCAACGTGGTGCGCCAGTCCCGCAAGTGCACCACGGCCCGTGGGGTGACCAAGGTGGTGAGCATCCGCTACTGCGCTCCTGCCAAGCAGAAGAAAGGCCGAGGTAGGGTCTGACAGAGCCACCCCTCTGTCCCTCCCCCTGCCTCCCTCTCTGGGTCCCAGCTGTGATCCTGTGCTGTCCCACTTTGCAGATGGCAGCTCTGGAAAGCGGAAGCGAGATGAGGAGGTACCAGTGCTGGAGCAACGAGAGAACAGGATGAACCCACTCCGATGCCCAGTCAAGTTCTATGAGTTCTATCTCTCAAAATGGTGAGGCATTCTCTGGAGAAGGGGCGTGTGCCATTTTGGGGCCACGTTTCAGTTTTGGTGGGACTCTGTGGAGTGGCTGCTGCTCTCCAAACATTTTTACTATTGAGTGTGAAGCCTTGCCCGGAGTCTGTGCTACTTGTGTAGACCATGGTTGGGAGGATGCCTTCTCCCAGGGCCCTTCCACTGCTGCCTCTCTCCTGACAGGCAGGAGTGTTCAGTATGAGTCCTGGTGCTTGGCTGGCTAGGGGCTTTGGCCCTGAGTGAGGAGCTGCAGACTCAGTTTGTCTCCTTCTGCTGAGGGATGAGAGGCCCTGTTGATATGAGGACAGTCCAGGTTTTCTGAGCCCCTGAACTGATATCCCAAGGCTCACCTTCCTCTCTCTTCACAGTCCCGAGAGCCTGCGGAACCGCAGCGACGTCTTCTACCTGCAGCCCGAGCGGTCGTGCATCGCCGAGTCCCCGCTCTGGTACTCGGTGATCCCCATGGACCGGAGCATGTTGGAG